CAGATTTCATACCAGCATCCTCACTAAATAAAGGACTTTCCTGTAACCTTATGTTTATTAGCCATGTATGATACTAGTCAATGGTTATGATCTAAAGTAGACAAAAAATATCAAAGTTTAAAATTTACCTTTAGTTAAACCTTTGCAATATTTTGGATAATTCAAATTTGTTCTAAATTATTTTCATCAGTTTGTCAAGTTTTAATAAAAGTGGTCATCAGTCATATTTCATGAAGTTGACCATTTATATTTCATTTCATTATGGTTTGGTTGTATTTTGTCCTTTTAATAGTTATAAGAATTTTTCATTTATTTTTTTATCATGGAAGATCAATCCATCAAGCAAAATTCCTTCTGGGGATAAAAAAAAAACTATCCCTTCATCATATTGTAAAAATCGTTTATCACCAGACTTTCAGAACTACCGGTAGGTATTCCAAATTTTAGGTAAAAAATCATTACATAGAACCTATGCATTGTGCCGATTGTTGAAAAATTCAGTACTTGATTGGCGCCACAAGGTCATATTTCATTTAAGTCACAAATAAATACCGGTACTTATTTTGTGGCTTTAAGGTAATATAAATGACAATAAAAGTTTCAAAGTAAGTTGTACCGTAAATACCAGACTCAAGTAAACACTTAGTATTTTATTGAGCTCATACTAGTTTAAAGTCACTTACTAGGTTTAAAATTGAATAGTGTTCATATAATTTTTCGAGGTGACAATGAGGAAATAATAAAATCTGACGCAGAGGAAATTTGTCTGTTTTATTGCAACAATCATACAATCTGACACAGAGGAAACACTTCTGTTTTATTGCAACAATCATACAATCTGACACAGAGAAAACACTTCTTTTTTTATGACAACAATAATCCAATCTGACACAAACAGAGGAAATATGTCCAGTTTAGTGACAACAATTATACAAGGACACACAAACAGAGGAGATATGTCAATGTTTGTGACAACCATATTACAATCTGATACAAACAGAGAAAATATGTCCATTTTTGTGACAACCATAATACAATCTGACACAAACAGAGGAAATAGGTCAATTTTTGTGACAACAATTATACAATCTGACAAAAAACAGAGGAAATAGGTCCATTTTTATGAAAACAATATTACAATCTGACAAAAACAGAGGAAATTATCAAGGTCCATTTTTATGACCACTGTAATACAATCTGACAAAAACAGAGGAAATAGGTCCATTTCTATGACCCCAATAATACAATCTGACAAAAACAGAGGAAATAGATCAATATTTATGATCACAATATTAATACAATCTGACAAAAACAGAGGAAATAGGTCCATTTTTATGACAACATTAATACAATCTGACAAAAACTGAGGAAATAGGTCAATTTTTATGACAACAATAATACAATCTGACAAAAACAGAGGAAATAGATCAATATTTATGATCACAATATTAATACAATCTGACACAAGCAGAGGAAATATGTCCATTTTTTTACACCAATAATATAATCTGACACTGACAGAGGAAATACATCTGTTTGTATGACAAGATTATCTAATTTATTGAAGAATAGAGTCTCAAAGATACAAAGAAGAATCCCCATGACAAAGATGGAGAACAAATTATTTTATGATGCAAAAAAAGCTGTATAGAGTTTTTACCTAACTATGTAAATTTTTATGAACTTATCCAGCCTTATATCTCCCCGTGGTTACGTAGGATAGCAGGTAACGCTGGTGAACATAAGATATTAATATAAATAAATAATATAAATTGAATAGTTAAAAGATAACACTTTTATTTACACTATTGACTGCAATGAAATATGTTGTTTTGACGCTTATGAAATATGGTTTGTGGCACAAATGACAGCTTTTTTGGCTCAAATGCAAAGTGCTGGTACACAACCTAACCTCCCTAATAATGGTACCGTTACCACCATGAAATCTAACAACATTGTCTTTTATTCCTTGCAGGTCAAGACAAAGGCTGTTGAGCAATCTGCTTACATAAAACTGTCTAAGACAACAGATTTACAAACTAATACAAACAAATATGTTTTCTATATGATCCTCAAACAGACAATCTGTAGTAAAAACAAACTACTTATAATTCAATTATCATTCTATTAAATAGACATATTTACACTTGTATGCAAATTTGTCCTCCCTTACCTAACATTACACAAGTTCCTGTAAAATTTTACATCACAATCTAATAAATTTGACGTCACAATTAATAAGTGATTGTTGCTTGACGTCAGAAGGTTATTCAGAGCAGATCCAATATGATTCACAGACAAAATTCAGCTAAATACCAAAAGTGTAAATACGTTAATTCCTGTCACCATCTTTATGATTCTACAACTTGCTACTGCAATCATCGACATTATTATTGGACTCCTTACTGCCATTATCGCATGATTCTCCAATATTTTAATGACCTCTGACCATATATGACATGATCTTCGTAATTTTTTTCAAGTGTGGGAAGTCATTTCCGTTTACAAGTCTAAGAAAAACTGACAATGCTTTGGCAAAAAACGAAAAACGACAAAACTACAGAAAGGGCAAAATGAACCCCACCAAAACCAGCGGTAATCTCAGGTGCTCTGGAAGGGTAAGCAGATCCTGACATCCATTGTATTACACCTATTAATAAGCTGATCAAATGAACAATTGTTTTATGACAAAGGATAGAATAGGAATTTATTTTGCCACTAGACATTAAATCATCATCATCATCATCATCATTCTTTCACTCATGAAAGCCATCATCTTCTTTACTCTCTTGCTCATTACTTTGACCATTTTCATTATGTGCTGGCTCATTAATGTCATTATCTTGATAATTATATGACTTATTACTGCCGCTATCTTCATAATTATTTGACTTATCACTAACAACATCTATACGATGGGGTGCCATTCTATTCATGATCAGTGTTCTTGGTATCTGAATTTTCATCTGAGTCAAATGTTAACGCACCAGTATCGTATGAAATGGAAACCTATCAAGGAGGCAAGGAAATGTTCTTTTCATTTTCCTAATGTTACTTGTATTGAAGGACTTGACGAAATTTTCAAGTCTATTTTCGCCAAGTGTTATTGGAATTTTTGATCCATCTAGTATCCTTGAAAAAAAGGTTTCCATGTCTTCCTCCTCTTCTTGTTTAAGAATAAATATTGCAGTTGTAACAGCTGCAATAAACTCTTCATCATTTTCCAAGACACCATATTTAAAAATGTATCTAGCAATGTCATCAAAATAAGTCATATCAAAAAAACCTGAATCTTCAAAGAAGAAATACTTGACATTTGTTTTAGAAGGTCTTTTAAGAAAAAAATAACTTCGGACATATTTGTTATCAACTTCTTTGAAATCTTCAGCTGTATACTTTAAGTTTTCAATCAGCTTATTTGCCAAGAAATGATTATCAACTTCGACAAAGACTTGCTCACTACCTTTATAGGATGACGGTCTACATAATGAAACCACAACTAGAGTACTTCCATACTTGAATAAGCATTCATCACAGAATTCATAATTTGTGAATATAACCTCTAAATTTTTGCCATAATCTGTTAACCCATCGAGCAGTGACCTCATGATGAATGCATTGATGTAATTGCATTTGGATAAACCAATTAATTTCGATAGAATAAAACTGAAAAAATCAGGGTCTTTCATTGTATGTAAGTACTTTCCAATCTCCAGTAGAATTTTATCTTTGTTTTGCCTTTCCACATTGGACAGAGGTTTGTATAAACACTCCATAATCATATTCAAATACCATCCTTTCACAGATTGTTCATCATCATCATATTCATCCCTTTCATAATTCCATGTGTCAAAGTATATTTCTATCATTTTTTTAACAAGCAGAGTATTGTCAACTGGAACAATAGTCTCATTACAGTTATCAGCAATGGATGATGGTCGACAAAAATTTTGAATAACTGCAGTACTTCCATATTTGAACAAGTATTTTTTACAAAAATCGAAATACCTTGAGACAGCTTTAGAATGTTCACCGTGACAAGTTAATCCATCTAAGAAAAACTTCATCGAATCACGATCAATTTTCTCAGATTCTAAAACGTTACTACTGAGGTTCGAGAGGAACAAATTTACAAAAGATTCATTTCCATTCCTTACTCCAATATCAAACAGGTAATATCCAATTCTTCTGTGATGCATTGGGTTTAAACTGCAGTCTATGTTATAAGGATCATAATTAGGGTCTGTATCATCTTTATGATAAAGCATTTTTGACATTTCAGAAAATACTGACTTAAATTTATGTTTTTTCACCAACAATGAAAGCAGGTTGTTTGACAAAACATCATCTGATATAAACATATACACATGATTTTGTTTCTTAAATTTTCTGTAACTTTCTGGTCTTATATATTCCAGGAAAAAACATGATGAAAGCAGGTCTTCAGGACATTCTTCCCCATATGATAGCAAAACTGCTTCAGCAATTGTTGCATGCTGAAAACAATAAGTTTCCTCCTCTCTATCTTTTACCAAATACTTTCCATTTAACGACAAATCACGGACTGCTGTTGAAATAAGTGTTTTTTTTATTTTTTTCATCTTTCTGTTCATTATAAGATAATATTCTAAGAAGTAAGTTATTATCTAAACAGTTCAAACCAATGTTGCCTTTCAAAGCTACATAAACAAGAGTACTGTACTGATATTTTTTGTAGGTTTTATCAAAACCTTCAGCATACAGGTGTTTCATTGTGTTTACAAGACTTTCTCTTGTGTTTGTAAAGTATAACAGTCCAAGTACAGTCAAAGTTTTATCAATGCAAAACATGTGACAAGCTTGAGGATAGCCTTCTAAGGTCTTACATTTAATTATTTGTTCAACACTAAACCTGCATACCGTCAACAACTGATTATCAGCATTAGTACTAACACTTTCTTTACACATATCAAAAAAGTTACAATTACACACTGACACATTAAATTTTTTCATATGCTTTAATAATATTTCCCTTTTTTCAGACTGACTTAAATCATAAGTTTCATTATCTAAATTCATAACTTTAGTTTCCCTTAGTATTGATTGACTCTCTAAAATACTTTTGTTACAGCCTGGACTTTCCCTTATGTTCAATATAACTTTGCTTTGAGAATTCTCACTGCGAACAGAATCGTAGATAACGTTTAACGTATGTTCATTAATATGTGAGTTTGTTTGACCAAAAAGATCATCAACTATAATGAAAATTTTACATTTATAATCTATTAGATCTCTCATCGTTTCAATTTCATTGTTTACCATGTACATTGGTGTGAACCCTTTATCTTTAAATTGCACAGCTAACTGTAGACTCAATGCTGTTTTCCCACGGCCTCCTTTTGATATAATTACCAAGAAGTTTTCTCTCTCTAGGAAATCAAAAACTTTGTTCTGTGTCTCAGTTTCTACAAACGTGTCTTTCAAATCTTCCCTGAATCTTCTAATCCTTGATTCTGTCTGTTCTGTTAAATATTAAATTTACATCCTGCATTAGAATGACCAATTCAGAGGGTCAAATATCAAATCAATATCTTCAAGCACGAAGAAAAAAAGTGTGGAAAACTGATTATTTAAGTGAATTTTCTAAGTCCAAGAACCATAACTCTGCACAAAATCATCAGACCAAAACAAAATTCGTACTATGTCTGTCACTTGTCATGATCATGATAAAACTATATACCTATTATTAAATCAATATCTTCAAGCTTGACGAAAAAAGTGTGGAAAACTGAATATTTGAGTGAATTTTTCTAAGTCATAGGACCATAACTCTGCACAAAATTCGAACGTGATCTGTAACTTGTCATAATAAAACAATATACCAAATATCAAATCAATATATTCAAGCATGAAGAAAAACAGTGTGGAAAACTGATTTGCCAGACTGACGGATCTACAGACAGAAGGAGTGCAAACCTAAAGTCCCCTTCAACTACGTCGGTAGGTGACTTAATAGCAATGAGGTTAAGAGTTCAGACAAAGAGCAATTCATATATAATAAAGGTTCCTGTCCAGTAAAACCTGATAAATGTTGCATGCGTACGAAGGGCCTTTTCTGATTTAACTTCACCAGGAACGCTGAGTATTTGAAGGCCAAAGATGTATAAGAACCAAAATAGATGGAGATCCATATGACCATAAAGTCCCTCCAAAAAAATAGCAAAATCCATCTTAGATCAACTTTGCCTGAGGGAGCTGAAACCTTAGTTTCTTTATGAGTTCAAAATTCACAAACAGATTTTTTTTGACTGGGCTAGTCAAGATCTTCTATTTTCTTAGATCTTAAACTTTATGCAATTTGTAAATGCTGTTTGTAACATCAGATTCACATTCATGACTCACATTATGTTCTTTTATTTGCTTGTTGCAGCCAAGAAAAACAACTATATTTGATACAGAATTGTTTCCTTCAAATTTTCAGCAAGACAAGGGAACAAACAATGTCTTGAATTTTACAAGTAACTTTTTAAGTAGCTAATAGGATTTCCTGTGGTTTAATGCTTTCTTTATTATCCAAATAATTTTAAGCCTTTGGGTTGAGTCAAAAACATAAGAAATGAGTAAACCTTATTTCAATAAGTGCAGTCCAGTGAAATTTAAGTTACTATGGAAAATACTCTATCTTTCCTTATACAACTATACATACCCAATAAATTTCTTTTTCTTTCATCTGAAAAAGTTTTTAGAAAATAAGTTAACTATGCAAAACACAGAAACTATTAAGTGCCTTAAGTAATAAAATCCAACATTTTGAAGGTAATTTGTTACAAGATAGAGATCTGTTTATATATTTATTTTTAAATAAATTTTATTATTATCAATATCTTGCACTAGGGGTGCAACATGTGAACAGTCTCTGCTTACCCTTCTGGAGCACCTGAGATCACCCCAGTTTTTTGGTGGGGCTGTTGTTGCTAAGTCTTTTGTTTTCTATGTTTTTGTTTTGTATACAGTTGTTTGTCTTTTGGTCTTTTTTGTTTTTTCTTGACATGGCATTGTTAGTTTATTTTTCGACTTTTTTCAGTTTGAATGTCCCTTTGGGTTCTTTCCCCTTTCTTATAGACTTTACCTGCCATTATCAAAAAGCTTTTATTTGAGCAAATCAACAGGAAGTGCAATGTGTGAATAATATATATTATTCATTGGTTCAAATAATTAATAAGTAACCAGCCATTCATCTGTTGTGTGTAAAGGAATAAACTGCTTCGCTAAGCGCAGCTGGATACGCCCGCAGAGGTCCAACCCTGAACAGTTGGGGCAAAAATGGACACAATATTCAAGCTTGATACAGGTCTGAATGTTGATTGTAATTAAATATTTGGCATATTAAAGGTTTCTGAATAAATGTAGTCAAAGAACTTGAAATTGGTTATATGAATTGAATTTATATTCAATTAAAGATTTCTTGCTGTTGTGCAATACATTGTGCTGTTGCGCAATACTAAGTAAATAAACAAATAAAGTTCAATTTCTTCTTAATGTCATATTTGAAATTTATGAAAATCAATAGGGAGATTACATCAATAGCTATAAATAATTCACCAAAGTGTCATGAGAACTGATGAAAGCATTTTTTAGTTATTGTCAGAAAACTGGAAATCCCCCTTTTTTTATGAATAAAACCCTGTAACTCGGAAACGTAAAATCTAAAATTCATAAAAATCAAAAGGGAGCTCTTGTTAATAGATATAAACAATTCACCAAAATTTCTTGCAAGTTGGTGAAAGCATTCTTGAGTTATTGTCAGAAAACTGGAAAATCCCCCCTTTTTTAATGAATAAAACCCCAAAACTCGGAAACAGTAAATCTGAAATTTATAAAAAACGAAAGGGAGCTCACGTCAATAGATATAAACAATTCAATAAAGTTTCATGCATATTGGTTAAAGCGTTTTTGAGTTAATGTCCGACATGTTGACGACGGACGGACGGACAGACGGACGGACAGACGGTCAACGGTATAAAACAGTTGTTTTCTTATTCAAATGAGTAGAACAGTTGTTTTCTTGTTAAAGCTGCATATGAGTAGAACAGTTGATTTCTTGTTTAAACTTGATATAAGTAGAACAGTTGATTTCTTGTTTAAACTGCATATGAGAAGAACAGTTGATTTCCTGTTTAAACTGCATATGAGTAGAACAGTTGTTTTCTTGTTTAAACTGCATATGAGTAGAACAGTTGTTTTCTTGTTAAAACTGCATGAGTAGAACAGTTGTTTTCTGGTTTAAACTGCATATGAGTAGAACAACTGTTTTCCTGATTAAACTGCATATGACAGTTGATTTCTTGTTTAAACTGCATATGAGTAGAACATTTACTTGTTTAAACTGCATATGAGTAGAACAGTTGATTTCTTGTTTAAACTGCATATGAGTAGAACAGTTGTTTTCTTGTTTAAACTGCATATGAGTAGAACAGTTGTTTTTCTAGTTTAAACTGCATATGAGTAGAACAGTTGTTTTCTTGTTTAAAATGCATATGAGTAAAACAGTTGATTTCTTGTTTAAACTGCATATGAGTAGAACAGTTGTTTTCTTGTTTAAACTGCATATGAGTAGAACAGTTGTTTTCTTGTTAAAACTGCATGAGTAGAACAGTTGTTTTCTTGTTTAAACTGCATATGAGTAGAACAGTTGTTTTCCTGAATAAACTGCATATGACAGTTGATTTCTTGTTTAAACTGCATATGAGTAGAACATTTATTGTTTAAACTGCATATGAGTAGAACAGTTGTTTTCTTGTTTAAACTGCATATGAGTAGAACAGTTGTTATCTTGTTTAAACTGCATATGAGTAGAACAGTTGTTTTCTTGTTAAAACTGCATGAGTAGAACAGTTGTTTTCTTTTTTTAAATTGCATATGAGTAAAACAGTTGATTTCTTGTTTAAACTGCATATGAGTAGAACAAACTGCATATGAGTAGAACAAACTGCATATGAGTAGAACAGTTGTTTTCTTGTTTAAATGAGTAGAACAGTTGTTTTCTTGTTTAAACTGCATATGAGTAGAACAGTTGTTTTCTTGTTTAAATTGCATATTAGTAGAACAGTTGTTTTCTTGTTTTAACTGCATATGAGTAGAACAGTTGATTTCTTGTTTAAACTGCATATGAGAAGAACAGTTGTTTTCTTGTTTAAACTGCATATGGGTAGAACAGTTAGTTTCTTGTTTAAACTGCATATGAGTAGAGCAGTTGTTTTCTTGTTTAAACTGCATATGAGTAAAACAGTTGATTTCTTGTTTAAACTCGATATGAGTAGAACGGTTGTTTTCTTGTTTAAACTGCATATGAGTAAAACAGTTGTTTTCTTATTCAAATGAGTAGAACAGTTGTTTTCTTGTTAAAGCTGCATATGAGTAGAACAGTTGATTTCTTGTTTAAACTTGATATGAGTAGAACAGTTGATTTCTTGTTTAAACTGCATATGAGAAGAACAGTTGTTTTCTTGTTTAAACTGCATATGAGTAGAACAGTTGGTTTCTTGTTTAAACTGCATATGAGTAGAGCAGTTGATTTCCTGTTTAAACTGCATATGAGTAGAACAGTTGTTTTCTTGTTTAAACTGCATATGAGTAGAACAGTTGTTTTCTTGTTAAAACTGCATGAGTAGAACTGTTTTCCTGATTAAACTGCATATGACAGTTGATTTCTTGTTTAAACTGCATATGAGTAGAACATTTACTTGTTTAAACTGCATATGAGTAGAACAGTTGTTTTCTTGTTTAAACTGCATATGAGTAGAACAGTTGTTTTTCTAGTTTAAACTGCATATGAGTAAAACAGTTGTTTTCTTGTTTAAATTGCATATGAGTAAAACAGTTGATTTCTTGTTTAAACTGCATATGAGTAGAACAGTTGTTTTCGTGTTTAAACTGCATATGAGTAGAACAGTTGTTTTCTTGTTAAAACTGCATGAGTAGAACAGTTGTTTTCTTGTTTAAACTGCATATGAGTAGAACAGTTGTTTTCCTGATTAAACTGCATATGACAGTTGATTTCTTGTTTAAACTGCATATGAGTAGAACATTTACTTGTTTAAACTGCATATGAGTAGAACAGTTGATTTCTTGTTTAAACTGCATATGAGTAGAACAGTTGTTTTCTTGTTTAAACTGCATATGAGTAGAACAGTTGTTTTCCTGTTAAAACTGCATGAGTAGAACAGTTGTTTTCTTTTTTTAAATTGCATATGAGTAAAACAGTTGATTTCTTGTTTAAACTGCATATGAGTAGAACAAACTGCATATGAGTAGAACAGTTGTTTTCTTGTTTAAACTGCATATGAGTAGAACAGTTGTTTTTCTAATTTAAACTGCATATGAGTAGAACAGTTGTTTTCTTGTTTAAATTGCATATGATTAAAACAGTTTATTTCTTGTTTAAACTGCATATGAGTAGAACAGTTGTTTTCCTGTTCAAACTGCATATGAGTAGAACAGTTGTTTTCTTGTTGAAACTGCATATGAGTAGAACAGTTGTTTTCCTGATTAAACTGCATATGACAGTTGATTTCTTTTTTTAAACTGCATATGAGTAGAACATTTTCTTGTTTAAACTGCATATGAGTAGAACAGTTGATTTCTTGTTTAAACTGCATACGAGTAGAACATTTTCTTGTTCAAACTGCATATGAGAAGAACAGTTGTTTTCTTGTTTAAACTGAATATGAGTAGAACAGTTGTTTTCTTGTTTAAACTGCATATGACTAGAACAGTTGTTTTCTTGTTTAAACTGCATATGACTAGAACAGTTGTTTTCTTGTTTAAACTGCATATGAGTAGAACAGTTGATTTCTTGTTTAAACTGCATATGAATAGAACAGTTGTTTTCCTGTTTGAACTGCATATGAGTAGAACAGTTGTTTTCTTGTTTAAACTGCATATGAGTAGAACATTTGTTTTCCTGTTTAACTGTTCATTTAGATATTTCTTAAGTTATTTTCAATGTCGACATAATGTGTTTCGTGAGGACAAATCAATCTTGACCATGGTCATGACATTTATTATACATGTATGGTTCAAATACTCATATACTCAAATACTCATATGGTCAGGAACATACCTACATTGCAGCTCAATGCATGCCAACTATGATTTAATTTATTCCTTTAATTTGTTATGCATGGCAAAAAAAAAATGTTTTTTTTTTTGGTTAACAGCTTTAACAATTTTTTAAGATAAACTGTATCCACAATGTACACAGAGATATGTTTCCCATTTTAGTAATTTTGATACAGTAGTATGTTGCAAATATTGAAATCAAAATAGCAATATTAAAACATGTAAATTTGAAAAACATTCAAAGTCAGTGAACTATAAAAGAAGGTTTCTGCAGGGTCATATAATCTCCATGGAAATGAGACTTCAAAATGCTCATACAACTTATTGACTTAACATAAGTGGTTCTTAAACTGTTCTAATAACTGTTAAATTATACAAAACATTCAAAATCAATAGACCATCATTGAGGAGGGATCTATAAAATCTCCACAAAATGAGATGTGCCATTACTAATACATCTGCATATAAAATATCAATGTCCTACAATTAGGGTTTCCACTTAAACTGACCTAATTAGTAACTAATTCATTGTTGATGCCGCTGCTGACTGAAACAGCATGCCTAAGTCTTGCTTTTTCTACTTCACTGAGGCAAGACAAAAATGGCAAA